ACGTACCGTACAGTCACGGCCCCTACACACGGGGGCGTGCGTTGTCGCTTGCCGGCGGGGAGGGCTGAAACTCGACCAACAACCAATCACATGAATCTCCCGCCCCAGACACACAAGCACGTGGTTTGATTGGCTAGAGCTTGCACTGGCATATGATTCGATTGGCTGACGCCTCCGTTGAGGCGTCAAAAGTTGAACATTGCTCTACTTTTGCTGCGAGCACCGCGAGAAAAGCTACGCTTTGCTCCCACAATGCAGTTCGGTGAATCGTGACGTCACCCCATTCAAAGTGAATGGGCAGAAGCGTTGAAGCGGCAACGCACGCCGCCGTGTGTAGGGGCCGTCAGAACGTAGTTAGCTTACTGTAGCTTAGTTTAGCTTAGTGCAAAGACTGGTAACAAAGAAAACAGCTAGCCATACTCATCGCTAATAAAATCTTACATACCACCTAAAAACTAAGATTTCAATATGATTTGTTTAAGTTTTGTCTGATTATTTTAGCTATCTTACCTTACTTTGGCAAGAAAGTGAAAAGGAAGCCAATGATTAACAATAATATGAATGGTAAGATCATGTCAGGAATAGAGCAGGGCAATAAGAGTTTACCAAATGGGCAACATCTTGTGGGGATCATGCTGCATTATATAGCATTTGGTAGTGAAATTCCATTAGATTGGCAAATTGATGGACCATGATGAATTGCCTGTAAAACGATGTGCATATAACTACTATTTGCACAAACCTAATATCCTTTGTCTAAAACCCAAGGACACACACACACACACACACACACACACACACACACACACACACACACACACACACATACACACACCGCAGTAGAGTACAGCATGGCTATCACATGGAGCATTCCATCATACTGTCACTCACATCTGCTGGCCTCTCTCATTACCACACCCTCTTGATTCTACCTCTCTCCTTTACCTCCCCTTCTCCACAACCCCCCCTTTTTTCTCCCCTCCCCTACAACCGTCCCCATTATTCTCCTTTTCTTCCTGGTCCACAGACTATCCTTCCATGCCAACCAAAATGAATAGAATTCATGAGGATTCATAGGTGGTGTGGAGGCAGGTGGACATGCTTTCACAGCGTTGTGATGTCCTCAGAGCCTCAGACATCATGTTCACAGTCTGAAAAAAGGCCGCAGAGTGGATTCAATACACCTCACATGATTGAAACCGAGAAGTGATTTTTCACATGTGCACACCGGTTAGAGTGCCAGAATAAGACAGCAGGCATGACTCTCTTTTTTCACCTCTCCCTGAACCTGTGAAAATGGATTGGTGGAGAACACCATTGTTGCATTTCAGCGACTATACAGTATATCCATGGGGGCTCTGTCTGTTTGGGAAGAAGTAGTTTGCTGCAGTCTCTGCCGCTCCCCTCCCTCTGCCGCTTCCAGTGAGGGATAAATGACAAAAACCATGTCAGGCTGCTGATGCAAAGAGGATAATTAGGATTCACGAAACACAGTTTGTCCTCAAAAGCAAATCACTTCCCTGGTGCTCTGGGGCCACCAAGGCACAGATCATTTCATATATCAGCACCTAGCAACTGGCAGATGGAGTGAACTTAGTGCAGGCTGCCAAAGCTGATAGGACACTGCAGGACTGCAAAATGAGCTGTGATGATTCCCCTGCTGAGGCCAACAAGAGAGACATACCTCATTAAGATGCAGAGCATCCTCGAATGCTCGGCCACACTTTACAGCACCGAGTTACGCCTTGCAAAAATGTTCAAAGTGCCACTGAAAACACACTGTCTGGAGCTCATGCTTGCAAAAATAAACAGCAGCCAGCTTGGTCATTATACACTTAGTTGTGTTAGAACATTAAATATGAAAGAAATAAAAACCCCAAATAATGTACAATATTATGACATGTAAAACAGCAAGACTATTTTCTTTGACATCTATTGCAGCCAATGATATCTGCATTGATAAGCTGGCAAAAACACACAGTCAACCATTGGAAATTCTGTATTTTTTCTCCTTATAATATCACCATTTCAACTGCATGGAGAGAGGGAGGCCATTAAAACTGCACCTGTTGTGAGGGCGTAAACATGTGTTCCTCATAACCATCTATCATAAGCCTGACTGCAAAAACACTTTTGTAGTACAAGCAAGCAGAGGAATATTCTCATTACAGAACTCTTGCCTGCCCTAAAGGAAATCAGTGGTGAATATTGTCCTTTATCTGCTTTTATTTGGTATGTACGGGAGTCCCTGCAGGCCCGCACCACAGCCTCCTGATGCTGAAACTCCTGCTAGTACATTCTGGGAACATACCAGCCTGCTTCACAATTTCACCGCACCTCGACGCCATACATCATCGTGTGACCAATTATCTCTGATCTCCATCCATCCTCAACCCTTTAGCTTATCGCCCTTCACATCACAAACCCGTCGTCTTTGTCTTTTCTTCCCGTTACTCTCTATAATAATCTCGCGCTTATTTCATTAGCCTGCTACCTATCCAACTGCTGTCATACTGCTTTCGTGTTTAACAAAAACACAGGTGGAGAGAAATTGATTGTTCACTTGTCCAACAACCAGAGGAGGAGGCGAGATGATAAGAAACGGTAGCGTGGGGAATGAGTGAGACACGGATAAAAGACGCTGCAGGAACAGAAGAGGAGAGAGACAGGAAGCAGAGACTCCTGGGACGGAGCGGCAGGGCTGTGGAGAGAGGGGCTTAATTTCCCAACACCATCTGTTACCATACGCGGGTTGAAAGCTCCACTTATGTCAAACCTCCCACAACCACACAGCAGTGGAGCGGAGAGAGACCCCTCTTTTCCCTGTCGGTCCCATGCTCCTTTTTCCTCCTCCACACCTATGCAACCCACTCACTGCCGTCCTCCTCAGAGGCACAACACACACTTTAGCTGAGATAAATGAATCCATGGTTCTTTTTTCTGGGTCATGGTTGGTTTATGAAAACATAGGTTATAATTATTTTGACGCCAACATGTCATGGCCCTTTAAAACATACAGTATTTGCCCGTACAGCATTTCACTGTCAACTTAAAGTGGACCTATCATGCTATATTTGAATAATATAGTGTAGGACCATACCTATATAAGGCATATTATACTTTTTATTTTTCAAAATACCAAACAGATCATGCATTTTAGCCATTCCTCCTGTATCAGATCCGCTGCAGCCCCTTTTTAAGAGATTTGGGTATGGAGGAAAATAGAGAGGGTTGTGTTTTCTGACACTTGGTGAGTTCCCTGGAACACCGGGGACACATATTCATGTATAAAAGATGTACAAAAGTGCATTTTGCATGATAGGTCACCTTTAATCAATGATACAGGAACTGTGGTTTCTGTTGTTTTGTAGTCCAAATTATCTTGATACATTTTTGTTTAATCTTAGCCGGCTAGCATCGATTGAAGGAAAGCCCAGAGGCAGCCTGGTATATGGGCCCTTATAAGAAGGGACCTACAACTTAAAATGTGTCAATGGAAGTGCCTCCCAGCTACTGTTTTTCCTGGTGGTGTATAAGCACTCAGGAGTGTGACCTACATTCAAGACTTTGTAGAGGCATGAAAATGTGTCAAATTGCAGGGCTATTGTGCCTTTTAATAATAAAGCTCTTGATGACAGTGTTACCTGAAGAAAAGTACAGTCACATGTCATCATTTTGAGCACCACAGTGAATTAGTCTGTATTTTTATACATAAACATGTAAATGAGCATTATTTCTTCCATTGACATATGTTGATTCTGCTTTTTCACCTTCCTATAGGAAGTAAACATTTCCCCCATGATACCAAAAAGGAAAATTCCCCAAAGGAAGAGGTGGTTGGAGCTCCTGCATCTACGACATGAGGAAATGCTGATATTCATAAAAGAATGGGGAGGCGTGGGGGGTTGCCCTGAGGACAAACCATACACTGGCATTTTAATCACTTCATTTACACACACTCTCAGGGTAGCTCTATGCAAATGATCTGTAAAGGTCATGATGCAAAGAGGGATATCTATTCTGTTCCAAACAGTGTTTATAAACAGGAAAAGCAATTAATCTATACACAGCCAGGCTTATCTGTGTATGAGTACAAGGCAGTCATCAGGGCTTTGCCTCCAAGATAAACTACTGATGAATACCTTATCCAACAGGTGAATACTTCCACCATATGTGAGGGTATGCAACTAGGTTTGAATTTCCTACAGTGAAGGGAGTCCTCATGTGGCCATTTTGGGTTACTACAGCTACATCTTTTAACTAATTCAAAACCCATCAAATGTAATATGTTGAGATTACATTTTACTGGTCGATACGTGTATAAAAAGTATATAATGTGTCAAATTGGTCCACACATGGAGGACTTAAAGATCTCACCAGCCAATCAATAGAACATCTTAGCTTTTGGCCAGTGAGTGAAGCAAATCTAACACGGATGTTTTACAGGAATCATCCCTGATCTTATTTTGATCCATGCCAGTAAATCATAACGAAGCCAAGTTTGTAGTGAGGTTACTATAAACGAAGCTCAAGTTTGTGCATTAACAGGGGGAAATATTCATTCAAATGAAGTAATTTGAGCAAAAAGGGCATTTAGTCATTTCAAATCATACCAATTGCTTACTGATGCAATACGCCCATGACAAAGCCATGTAAGCTGCTTTAGGAAGGATAAGTCAGGGGGATACTTTTTTATAAACAAAAAGGAAATCCTGGGAGCAATCTAGAGCTGAGCAATCCCTCACTGAAATGCAGTATAGATCCAGCAACTTTTAAAATGGTAGAAGTAACATTAGTTTTTAAGATAAAAAGTTTTTTTAGATGAAGTAATAGGGTGCCAGATAGAGGTCCTGCTTGGGATAGGCATTTACAGATCCCCAACATGCCAACCAAATGTCTCTAGAGCCACCAAACCTAACATTAATTGAATTTGAAATATAGGCTTCAGAAATACATGTTTTTTTTATTAAGAAAATACACTTTGACCAAAACATTTTTTTCCAGATTTTATTGGATGATAATATACAAGAACATCTTGAGCACGGAGACCCTCCCTGGCTGTCCGGACTCACTGTAAGGAGACAACAACATAATTAGAAGAGAAAACTTACTACAGTAAACGGAAACTTATTGAAAATATGAAGTCAACAGGGCAACTTGAGACAACAAAAATTAACACAGTATGTCAGACAAGACACACAGTTTAAAATCCAACATCATAGATCAAGGTTTTATAAAAACATTGTTATGAGTTGAATAAGACGGTATAAAAGAAACACATTTCAGTTCACTGGGAGGCTTCTAGCTCAACACAACACTAAGAACCAATATCCACATGCTACACCCAGGTCCTGCTTCTATTCACTACAGATCTAAAGCTAAGGGATATGTCCATTATAGCAGACCGGGGTACAAAGGACTGGTGGAGGGTTAACCTGCTAACAGGCTCTAAGAAACAACATGGGAGAGTGGGGTAAACACTGAGGGGAAACTGTAGGGTGACTAAGGTGTGACATGCAGGTCTATCTGCTTTGGATGTGCAACACATTAGCACACCATGCTGTTCTATACCTGCGCACTGACACCTCATTTCTGCAAAAGAAATCCATGAGAAGCAAAATCAAGAACAAAACATGAAACAAAATTAAGTTAATGGAACATGGAAAATAAAAGATCTTTGAATTAATTTGTTGTGGCTGTTGACAAGGCTGAACAGAGTCAATGTTTAAAGCCAGTTGTGCTGAAGACATTACAGATGCAGCTGTGTGGTATCAACAGTCTATGCTAGGTGGCTTTAGGTTAGAGATCGGTGCCACAGGGTTCAGGGGTAGGCAGGTTCTACTTTGAGTAAACTACACCAGGAGTGTGGCTGTGCTCAACTAGACACATTCTTAGTGGACTAACACTCACAAGATCTTCGGAGCTCATTGATTTAATTGCCAACTATAAAACTGTTTCTCCAGAATCACCTGAAAGCACTACCAGAGACAAGCTCACATTTTATTTGGGTTAAATTATTCCAACTTGGACTAAAAAGGGGCATTTGGTTTCCAAGACAGGGGTTTACAGAACTAATATTTATCAGCTCAAACTAGTTATTATTAAAAGCCTCGAAAGTATTGGCCAGTGGGTCAAATACTTTCACACAGGATGCCTCGTGTACATCCAGGGGGAGTGCATTGGGACTTGGTGCGGGGTAAAGGGATTAGCTGGGATTCTGCACTCCTTTATATGCACACTGGAGTTAGTCCATCTATGAACAACATTTACCTTCTACGGTTCCCAAAGAACATTTGATACGAATGGAAAGATGGCAAAGGAAATTAAAACGGTAAAAGTCGTGAAAAGAGATCAGCAGTGTAGGGAAAAGAATAGGTAAGAAATGACAATCAAGAAAGAATAAGTTGGACTAAATGAAGCCTGCTTTGGCTTTTCTGTTCTTTGCTTAGATTAGAAAAGACAAATATGTTTACAAATCATACTATCAGGAGAAGTCTGAACTACTTTTTTTAAACAGGAGAGGAGTTTTAGTGACCATACAAAGGATAAAATGGTTACAATACCTTTTTGCCAGCAGCGCCAACACTGGCCTTCTTGGTGCCTCGTACTTTCTTCATTCTGTTCTTGCGTTCCTTGCGCTGCTTCCTTGAGGTCTTCTTCTTCTCATAGAGACCATGCTAAGGAAAAAAAAATTAACACATTTTTAATCTAAATACTTAATTAATTGTGACCTATGGATTTTAATCATGTTTTCGCAATGACTTCATGCATTTGTACCACCCATGCATGTTCATGGCATCACAATGTGGATTGATGATAATATGAAAGCTGCATAACAAGCACTGAATGAAGCACTTTAAAACTGTAGGGGGGGGGGTCAACATTTGTCCTTGCCTATTTAGCTTTTGATAAAGATGACCTAAACTGCCTCCATATGAAAGGCCATTTCAACATTACCCACCAAGCGTGTTGATTGAAAGTAAGGGAAACCTACTTGCATTTCATGGTACATCTTCTCAAGTGTACCTGTTCCAGCAATTTTAACTGATAAGTGCTCTACAAACTACTTAACATGATTTACATTTAAAAATGGGGTATATTCAGTGGGCAACAACTCAGTATATAAGAAATGTAATCCCAAAAAGGTTTGTAGGGATTTTTCATTGAGAGAAAAGTTTTCATCTTGCTGCTTTTGATTGCTAAGCTCACAACATGTATCGGCTCTATGCACCTCATGCTTTTGCAGGAGTACCTAAGGGCCTCCTGTTGAGAAAATGGGTGACCCTTGTAGTTTATGTTTCCCCCCTCCCCTCCATTGTCTGATCAGATGAATTCAGGACGGGTCACTACTTGCCGGGCATTAAGTTGAATAGAAATGCAGTATGCTGCTCTTTTTAAAACAACATAGGATGCAACAAAATGTCAAGTTAAGTGCAACTCATGTTATGCAACTTCCAAAAAGCAGTTTGATTGGGGACAGTTTCTAGAAAGGGATGCCTTCTACTAAAAAAAAACATTGTGAATAAAACTCAAAGCAAAACTCACTCTGGCCAGTCTGTGTTTGGGTTCATTCTTCTTTGCGTAGTCTAAAGAGTCGTAAACCATGGCGAAGCCTGTTGTCTTGCCACCACCAAACTGAGTCCTGAAGCCAAATACGAACACAACATCAGGGGTGGTCTTGTACATCTTGGCGAGTTTCTCCCGGATTTCAGTCTTGGGGACTGTGGCCTTGCCGGGATGCAGGACATCGACGACCTACAGAGAGAGAACAGGCAATGAATGTATGAATGCAAGACAAAAAACCTATCTTATTATGTTATTAACACAAATACATGCATACAAGTGCAGTGCTGTTTGAAACCTTACCATTTGCTTCCTCTGAAGGAGCCGGTTCGTCATGAACTTTCGGGACCTGACTGTCACTGTGTCATTCTGAAGAAGAGAGAAAGTAGATGATGTTCACAATAACATTTGACAACTTGAAAATGTTCAAACGTTTCTACTATTCTCAACACTAACAACTAACATTTTGATCCAGCCATTGCATGTACATGCTGTCACAACATTATCTTATAGCTTCTAAGCTAACATACTGGCTAAGATAGCTTACTAACCAGGCAAATGTAAAGCTTTTAGAGCCTCAATGCAGCCTGTTTTTTTTAATCAACTTTTTACCAGTCTAATACATTTGAGCATAACTAGGGTTCTTTAATGTTCCTGTTCTCAAACATGAGGGCCCGGCCATGGCTACCTGTGTAGTGAATGCTAACATTAGCCGCTCAGAGCTAGCATTTTGTGATTCTTTATAGACTTCTAAACAAAGCCCAAATACTTAAATGTTTCTTTGAGTGACAGAGTATGTTAAAGACATATATTGCTTAGTAAAAGCAAGGTAGAAACTGTATAGGCTATCCCAAAGGAGGTATATACAGAGTGTACAACGTCCGGGCAGGCATCAGTTAGGTTAGCATTTGGATGGTGGCTGATTTTATGCTTAGATACTTTTATACCACATAAATATTGACATTATACTGTAGCTAACACTTAAACGATCACATTATGGTCATGATAAGTGTGCAGATAGAAGGATGGCCTCGATGATCAACGGATTTTACTTTATATTTTATCGCAAGACTCACCATCTTGACGCCGGACTCGCTCAGGGACGTAGAAAAGGAGGAAGGACCAGCAGGCGGCCGAATAAATGCCTGCAGAAAAATGGAGCGGGCACGCAGTTGTGTTGCCTGATGTAAAAGCGTAAACACAAATAAAAAACTCGCGAAATTAATTTAATTTTTCTTAGTTAACGTTAGTTATTTGATGAAATACAATCGTTTTTCAAATATGTTACAATGAATTTATAAACATTAGACATTTCTTCTTTCGTCGCCACAAAAGCAAACAACATATTTTCATATCAGCGTTCATACTGAAAAATCGATATTAACACACACACTTTAAAGAACAGAATGGGCCATGTGACTGGCAAATTGGAAAATGTAAAGTCTAATGAAGGTAAACCGTATAGACTATGAAATAGGGGTAAACTTGGGGTAAACTGACATTTTGGTGGAAAACACCATCTGCGGTTCCTCTTTAATCCACTAGACGTCAGACAAGCAAACGTCTATTTATTATTACCCAGTCAATAATCACAGTTTTTATTAACAGACTATTATAAGAGGGACATGTAGGTATGACCATGTATAGAGTAATACTTTGCCCAGAAGGAAATCGAACTTGGGTGTGTATACAATTGAACAAATATAGTCTTATGATTTGGAAAATTAATTGATGCAATAAGACGTTTGCAAAGACATTTTATTTATAGTTAAGTACTTTTGAGGTGACATTTCAGATGAGAATAAGGCTCCGCTCATAGCATGAATCTGTGATATATTTTTGTTACATTCAAAAAAGCAGATTACAATTAAAAACACAACATCTTAACTTCTTTCTTACGGAACTTTATTGATCTTTCAGCAAAAGTGTCCACTGGCATTGGAGTTTCATTTAAAATAAAGTTACTTAAATTCAGAACAGAAAGTTACAGTAAGTTTGTTTCAAATCTCTTTCAACACACAATGTTAAGCCCTCATTGTGAAACCAAACGGATTTGAAATAAATCTGCAATATGAATTATGATGCCGTAATAGAAAGCAAAAATGTGCAATGCAAATTGGTTTTCAAGCAACTCCTCAATGTGTTTATCACCAGAAATAACCCGAATGAACTAAAATGCCTAGAAAAAAGAAAATCCTTGATAGACATAATTTAAGCCATTCGGTGGTTCCACTCATACAGAGAAACAAACTTGTGGTGGGAATACATTTGAAAATAAAAGGGGAACTTCATGATGATAAAGTTAGGAGTTGCTACTTGGAAAGGGTACAATTAGCAAACTGATTGTGGTGCAAAAGAAAAAATAAATAAACTATTGGGACTCAAACAGCAAGTGGCATTATTTTAGCCACTTTGCCACCTGGAGCTCAAAACCCCAAAATGGCACCATCACACTTTCAAACTTCACAGCTGCTTTAGGAAGAAAAAAACATAATAAAATCAAAATCCATTAAAAGACTTTTTTTTTCGTCTTAAGTGCCAAGTACAATGTTTCCTGTTCAATGTTACAGTGAAAAAATAAACATCTGTTGGAAAGTACAAATTGATGACTAGGAACCTAGTTTTAGTTACTGCATTTGGTGTAAAGTAAGGCATGGACAGACATTAAAATAATATGGTAATGTGGGATGATTTAAGGACACTGGAGTCAGATTTGTAGATTATGGGACAACATCTATCAAGCCTGACGCAAACAATGTCTTCTGGTTCTCTGACACTTTTTACAAATCCAAAGGCTTGACAGTGCTGATACCCAAACAAATACCTCAATACTAAGAAACTGTATTCAAAAATAAAATGCATATAAAATATGTGGATTATTTAAAGTTTTTCAAAAATCTTGTTGTATTTTACTTAAAAATTACCATTGGGATATTAACCATTATCACATTAATTGAAATGTGTATCTGGTGTGGACACAGAAGACTGACAGATATTGCCAAGTATTCCTCCCTTTCTTAGATTTACCTAATATCAACACAAAGACCTTGTCTACAAACCTAACCAGGTCAAAGTCACATCAAATCTGGAGAAAAGGTATTCACTTTTATCAGCAGGAGAGAAACTGTTAAGCCAGATCGTCATAGTGATGAATTGAAAGGCTTGACATTGACTTTTAAATGAATTGTTAATAAAATGCTTGTTTTTCAGTATTATAAATAATTTTACATCATAGTGGGAAATACAATAATTTGATGATTACAAAACATTTAAAAACAGCCTAAAATTCACTCACATGGGCTTGTGGTGTTAATGGGAACTAGAGTCTTGGAATGGCATGAAATCTTCATCAAATTGCAAAATAAAAACAAGACAGCGTCCCTTTGCATACTATCGCAGGAGATTTACCAGACCAAACAATTGAGAATATATTATGGAGCTTTGAAGTAGAACCAAATAGCAAACACAAACTAAAATCACTTAAATAACATGCGTCTTCAAAACCAAAATATGTGATGAATATCAAAGCTTTTGAATAATTCTAAGGCTAGTACTAAAATTACCACTTCCTCCACCAAATTATCTTGGAATTTTGTCCGCTTTACAGTGTGCTCTGTTAGAGATCATAACTCACAGAAAGCTGGAAGATGAGTGCTAAAATCCGCGGATTGGACAATGTGTTTCGGTACACCATTTTGAGGCCCGCTCCTTCAATGTGTGTTTTTTTTACAGTGACTGGTATCAATGGAAATCTATACAAATGAACGTAGTTTCCAGAGTTGGCGACACTGTACCGGTTTGTATGATACACTGATTTCCCATGGTTTACACACATTACATCCAGCAGCGAGACAGAGAGCTAAAGAAGATGCCATGAGGGCTCACAACATTGGTTTCTACAAGCCAAGCCACTGACATGGGTGATGCCAGGTCATATTCTTTTGCTGGTGGAGTTCCAGTCTGTTAGATGTCCATTTCAAACTGAGCATCATCACCTTGAAAAGAAGAAACAACACGTTTATTGAGAAAGGTATGTTGAAACAGGTTGTGCTTCTTTAATATCATAATGGGTATTAAGTGGAATAATTACAGCTTAACAACAGAGTTGGTTAAATGTTTGAGAAAAAAGATGGTTACTCAGACAGTATTGTAACTCTTACCGGTTATGGGCTTGCCATCATGTTTGTTTTTGATGTGGTTGTTGGCTTCGTTCTTCTTGTTCTCTCTCAGGACATTTGGGCTGGTCACTCCAGGAATGACAGGCAGGTGAGCCGGGGGAGTCTGGGCAATTGGAGAGTTACGTCTGTCCAGTAGGAACTTACGGTCATAGATGATCCGGGTTCCTGAAACACAACACGTATCAAGTTACAGTTATCGTGCTCTATCCTGGGAAGCATCTCATGCCGGTGCTATCAAATGAGCCGTGAGTCAAAGGGCTTGTCATCATCAAGATGAGCCAGATTAAAACCCTCTCAAAAGGCACCAACATCTTAAAATAAAATATACATTTTAATAAGATGTAACTGCATCTTTTAACATTTTTTATTTACATCTCCATCCTGATGGTTGTATTTTATTTAAGTCCTTTTGCTTAAGGGTACTCCGCATGTTTTGATGTGTTAAAAAATATATAAAGAGTTCCGCTTGGCTGTGTTTTGCTGCTTCCTGTTGATCTATATGTCTTCTGCAGTCACTCGAGAAAGCATTGTGTTGCTGTCTTTATATTGTATTGCTGTCTTCTGTAAATATAATCACCTTAACTGGTATATAATATCTCACTGAGGTAACCAGCTGACTAAATACTGGCACATTTACAGACATTTTAATTAATGTCTATTGCCCTTGTGAATAAATGAAAGGAAATGCAACTAAATGGGAACTATAAAAAGCAAGACATGGAGGAAGATAGACTTAACATCGAACTTGATAGCCTTGCTTTCATAACAGTATTTATCACTCACATTTAATCAGAGTCACTGACCTTTTTCAGAGTACACACTTTAACGTGTCACGGCAGAGCTGCACAGGTGGAACTAATAACGATATCGGCGGCACAGTTCCAGCAATAATTGCATGCAATGCAGTGATTAATTTGATCTGCAGAATGTGTTTGACAGGTCAAGATGTACTGTGACCAAAGGCCGTTTAGTTTTACTTAATATGTTTTTCTCTGGCTATGAGAACCCTTCAGTGGTCTATTTGCCCCCTAGTTTTTAAACCACCGTTTTAAACAATAATTCCATAACATTCTCAAATATGATGGTGGTTTATATATGAAATGGTCAGTCAATAAGCTGATTGACATCAAATATACAAGCAAATATTACTATGATTGATTCTTAGTTTTAGTCCTTTTCAAGCTAAATGCCAACTAAAAAATGTTGGCTCAAGCTTTGGTAATGTAAGATTTTCTGCTTCTCTAGTAAACCATGCAGGTATACTTTGGGCTTTAGAATGTTGTTGGAATAAAATAAGATGTCTGAAGAAGTCACCATGGAATGTGATATCATTTTCACTAAAAAATAAAAAGCTAAAACCTTTGTCAGAAAGTCTATATTACATTGCTATGCAGAGTGAATCTGTTTAGATACGTACAGTACAGCATCCTTGGTGGATGTATTGCACATCCTTATCTGAAAGGCCTCCTATGAACTCGAAGGCAAATACAAATCCAGCTATGCATAGCTGACGCACAGTAAATGCCTTAAGCTGTAGATTATCACAGTCGTGTTATTCATAATCATAGGTGGCAAAGAAAAAATGTCCACCTTTTTTAAATATTACTGCACAATGCCATCATCAGAATCTCTGCGCTGCAAATCAGCCAATCACACAGCCGGGAGAGAGCGAGGGGGCGGGGCTTAGCTTTGTTTTTGTTTTGATCGGGATGACACGGCAGCCTATAGGCCACTGTTACATGAGCAGTGAAAGGTTTTGTGAGAGTACAAACACCACAAAATGACAATTATCCTCCATTTTCTGAATAAAAACTATGCGTAGTCGGGATATCCCCTTACCTCCGGGAGTGGTAGAGAATAAAGTGCCTCCAGGGGTGGTACAATAGTCATGAGGTAGCTGCGTTGTGTCGTTGATCAACACCGTCCTGGTCGGGATGGCCCTGCTC